GGAGGGCAGAGGGGCCGGGCCGGGAGCGGTGTCCGGAGGGCAGAGGGGCCGGGCCGGGAGCGGTGTCCGGAGGGCAGAGGGGCCGGGCCGGGAGCGGTGTCCGGAGGGCAGAGGGGCCGGGCCGGGAGCGGTGTCTGTAGGGTGGAGGGGCCGGGCCGGGCCGGGCCGTGAGGGGCAGGGCGGTCACCGAGCAGCTCCCGGTGCTTCCAGCCAGGCTGCAGGACGGGATCTGCTGGATCTCAGCGGGCCCTGTGGGATTATTTTTTGCATCACGTCATGGTTTCAGTTATCTGTTACTGTCCTGTCCTGCTGATTCTCCTTCCCCTTTTTGGTCCATCTTTGTACATTTCTTCCCTGCGATATTGGTGATTCTTTTTGTTGATTGACTTTTTTTTTTATATTTATACGTGTGTGGTATACCGGATCCCTGTTCTTGTTTTAGGTTTGTACCTCCTAAAGAAGTACAGGTCAAGATCATAGGTTGTCACTAACTTCTGAGCCAAACCAAATGATATTTGTTACTGCCAGTGGATGCAGGACATGCACATCCAGAGATGGGACTAAAATCATTCTCTCAGTAGCCAGATGGTGTCTGACAGCCGCCATCTCCTTCATATTTGTAGCAGTTACCTGGAAAAAAGGAAGTCATAGCTTGCAAGTTGATTTGCACAGTAAATAACTTAAAAATAACTTTGAAGGTAGATAGCTACTACAGAGTTGTTTCCATTGTTCAGTAATTTATTTTAATTATAGGGTATGGACTTTAATGTGTTCAAATTCAAGGGTGTCTAAGAACAGATAATGCATGTATAAGTTGCACAGTGGAAAGTCTCTGTCTAGTGGAAATCTTGACCATTGAGAAGGACTTTTTATGTAGTAAGTGACAAAAAACATCTGTAGTGCAGTTTTTAGCGTAAGAACAGTTCTGCTGCTAGTTGGACAAACAGAAAACATGCAGTTGTATTGTCAGTGTTTTTTAAAGAATGCTGAAAAATTCTGGAGGGCAGCTAGAAGTAAGAAATAACTTTGTGGCTGAAAAAATAATTTCACAATTGGAGCAGATAATCTTAATTTGTCAAGACTTAAGAGGCAATCTTAGATCTTTGAAGCATCCACAGAGAGTTAAGGTAATGCTGAGGTCTAGTTGAATAGATGGATTTCCATTAAGATTTTGTCACTGCATGGTGAACTTCGATATTCTCAAACTGGAAATAATATTAATTCCTAAGAAGATTTTTCAATCAAGTGGAATTGTGGTATATATTGCATTGTAAGTAGTGTTTGCTATATTAGTCATTCTGAAACAATACAAATCTTGAACATAATTTCAAGCTTCATGTCCTGCTTTTGTACATTTGTTGTGTGCAATATAGGGTCACATTTTGGATGACAAGCAACAGAGGTTTTATTACAACAAAAATTCACAGAGCAGCCAGAGTAGAGGGATTGGAATGCCAATACATGATATAAAAGCAATAGAATTTGAACAGGAGCTCCCAGGAAAAAATTCAAACCTCTGAGTGAGATTCAGAAACTTCTGTTGGTTACCTCTAGGATATTTTGCACAGGGATGCTGCTGTCTCTCCTTAAGAGTAATTCATCTTTAGACAAAAATGACAACATAGAGACATTGAGGCTGATGAGATTAAATTGGGTCATAGTGTAGAGTAACAGTTTATCCATCAAGTGACTTCAAGTTGCAGGCAGAGCCAAAGTCATCAATCTTCCAAGCAATACATGAAAATCAAAATCAGTGAAAATGCAGAGATAAAATGATAAAATACTTTGAAAATTAGGGGTTTCTGTATCACCATAGGCAATTCTAACCTCATAAGAAGATTCAAAAAGATTTGTGAAGACAAGAGTAAAAATGTAATATCCCTAAAACAAGAATTGTATAGGTGATAGACTAGCACAATTATATATTTTTCAAGCAATAGCAAAATAACAATTTGGCATGCACTGCAAGTGCACATCATTTTGTGTTTCGGTATAAATGGAGATGTGTTTCAGTGCAACATCTTCATCTGCCCAGAAGGGTTGGACAGAATTAATTTTTATCAGAGTTACAGGTGACATAAAAATAGGGACAAGAGGGAGAAGTCAGCACAGTGGAGGGTGGGAGGCTTTTTATCCAGAGCACCCATTCTTGTTAAAACCAGTGTTTTGCCTGAAAATGAGCAGGATTAGATTTCTGAACTGATGATTTAGGGAATTTGTAGGGTTTTTCCCAGATGCTTGGAAACCTGTAATAATTCTGGCCATGTCTCCAGAACTGTATTTGGTAAAAACGTTCTGGTTTTGAATACCCAATCTTACTTTTTTCTGTATGTTTTAATCTATGTGGGTAACCCATGAAGCAATTCTTTGTTCTTAATGTGCTGGAATTGCAGATGTGTTGTAAGGAGTATGAAGGGCACTCTCAAAATTCATGTTAACTTCAGTGACTGTAAAGGGAACTGTTGGTAAGGAAACAATTTTGCATGTGCAGGACAGTGCAAATTAAAATGTATTAATAGGCTGGCATTTTTTGCCATGAAAAGTTTGGTTTATTTGCTTATAATTCCATGTGCCAATAGTTCATAGCCTCGTGTATCCTTAATTGCTGATGAATGGTTCTCCAAAACCTGTGTTTTGTGGCTGGTAAAATAATACATCTCTGTTCCAAAGAAACACTTCTTACTGGTGTTACTCACAGGACAAGAAACTCTAAATCTTCCATATTGAGAATGGACAAGATTCTGGAGTTTTTCTCTGGCTTTTCAGGAACCAGGTGAAGCTGATGTTAGCATCTCTGCTATTTGAAGGAGCTAGAATTTCAACATCCAACATGATGCAGCTGGAATGAAATGTTAAGGATGAGAGAGATCCAAGGACTGTTTGGAAAAGGAGTAACAAATGGCATACAAATTCTCTCTTTTTCACCTCTAGCTGTGTAAGAAAATTGTCTGTAAAATCTGCAAAAATCATTCACTGGGAATGAGTTTGCCTCCAGGGAAGCCAGTCTGTTGCCAGATTCAGCCATGATTTCAGGATGGGAGTTCCTATTGATGCTGAACAGTCAGATATATGCTGATCTATATAATATTAATTAAACCATATTCTCACCCTACTAAGCATAGGAACTCACTGCTGAATTAACACTTTTTGGTTTGGCCTTGCTCTGTAGGATTTTTGTGTTGAAAGCAGAATTCTCCAGACACTGAAACTTCTCCCCTGGCACAGATGATGTCCTGCCAGATGGAAAATCTGTCAGCATTTGTTTGGGTAATGAAGTCTTACAAATATTTGGTTCATTGCCATAGTTGCTTGGCACAGACAGCAGAAAATGTAGAAGCTTCAGTCATGCATAAGTCTTCATCTGCTTACACTAGAATTTAAGGGGTGTGCAGTCATCAGGAAGAAAGGAATTCTCAAGATATTCATGGCCTTGAATTACATCAAAATTGTGAGTGAATGGACTCAGTGATTCATATAGATGTAAACTGACTAATTTGGGTGTTTATTTTAAGTTTTTAGATTAAGTGTCCAGCCAAAAGCCCTGGATGCATTCCACCTCACAGAAACTTGTCCAGAATGGTACTGCACAAATGCTTATCTGGAGTTCAGCTTAATATTAAGAGTTCTTGTATTTTCAATTTATGAGTTGAGCTGTAGGGAGATTTTTGAAAAATATTTCTGTTCCCATATCCAGTTAGACACATACTGAAAGCTGTTTTTAAAAACAATCTGTCTAGGCTACCTCTTTTCACAAAATGTGTAGGAACTGAGTTATCCTTCAGCCAAAGCTTTCTGTCACATTCTGCTAATGTTGACCAGTGGGGCTTCAATTTTGCTAGGAGACCACACAGTGTGATAAAACATAGAGGTTTTATTTCTTCCCAGGAAAGTGACAGAAGTATTGCAACTGCCATATGGAAATAATCAGACTCAGAATGAAAAGTAGTGGGTTTATGGCAAAAAGGAGTCAATGATCTCCTGATATTACTTAAGGGTTGGCTCCTCTTACTATAGATTGCGTTCTAGGGCACGAGCAGAGATTTGTGCATGGTCAGCTGTGTTACTGAGCAGATGGGTTGTTTGCCATAGTGCATCCTGGAGCTTTTATCAAAGCTTATGGCATTATTACTGGATCTAATTAATTATCATCATCAAGCTTGGAAGGCATGATTGGTAGCATCCAGCTCAATTGTTCATTAATAGGGTAGGTCACTCTTTTAGCCACCTAAAGATGGAAATTCCTGGTTTTGCTACAATTATTGGTAAAACTGAGGAGCTAGAAAGGACTTAGCTGACCTAAAAGTACTGAGTGCTTTCTTAAGCACTTCAGCATCTTAAACATCACTCATGTGGATTCTTTCACATGCAGATACTGATTTCAGCTAAGACACTGAAAATTTTAACACTTGTGGTAGGAACACTGAGTCTCAAAGACTGAGTTACATCTCTGTGTTGCTGGCCTCTGGATAGCCTTGACAGATCTTCCCATGACTTCAAAGGTGTTGAATAGCACAGGGCTATAGGACTACACCTCTTAGTGGCCCTCAGATGAGTCTTATGAAGATGCAGTAACATTTATTAGTTACTTTCTTCCTGTGACCTGATAAGAAGTCAGTGCTGTTTCACAGTGCTTAAAATTGCCCCCCAAAATGTCAGTTTGGCTGGACTGCCTGCTGAAGTAGCAAGTACTGCTTATCAAGTTCTGCAACACTGATACCTGACAGTAGAGGCTTTTTATAACTGTTTTTATGTGGATAATGGTTAATCTTAGAACTTAATGTGTTATTGTCTCCAGTTATTTTCCTACTTTTCAGAATTTTATGTTCAGAAAGTTACTATTTTATCCCCTTGGAGGATCTAACAGATGCAGATTCACTTTCATGTGTGCTTTCCTCAGTCATCAGCCAAGAAAGCAGCATTCTCACAAATAGTGACCATGGCTCTGAATATTTGTGTGAATTTATAACCTGTGGCTAATTCACTTTTGGGCACAGTATATTTGGCATCTGTTAACAGAAAAATCAAAGGGTTTGGTTATCAATACCTAAATACTGAGATGATTCACCAAATTCTAATCGTTTTCTTGACACTTTCTGTCATGCAGGTTCATAGCCAAGAACATTATGAGGCTGCAGCGTCTGGGGATAACCCATGTTCTGAATGCAGCAGAGGGGAAATCATTCATGCATGTGAACACTAATGCAGAGTTCTATGAAGGCACAGGCATCAGATACCATGGCATTAAAGCTAACGATACACAGGAATTTAACCTCAGTCGCTATTTTGAGGAGGCAGCTGATTTTATTGAGAAAGCCCTTTCCCAGAAGGATGGTAAGGCAAACTGAAATACCTTTCTGTGTTTTCTGTGCACTGCATATGTTTCTTAGCAATTTGCTGTTTAAAATGGTTCTTTGCTCATATTGTAAACAGAACAACCGAGTGAAAAATTCAGATAAAGGCCCTGAATCAATGATACAATACACATAAGACAACAGATACACAGTAAAACAGCTCAGTCTTGTGTTTATACATGGAGGGATCCAGTACATGGCAGAGGGAAGTCTGTCACTGTAGGAGTGACTTTGAAATGGGAAACAGCTGCTGCATCTTATTATAGTTTCTTTCTGGGAGGAGATGTTTTTATTTTTCCTTAGAAATGTTAAATCACATCCAAAATATTTTTTTAAAAATAAGTTAAGGGTCTAAAAGTCGTTTAAGGACATTAAAAATCACAGTTTAAAGGCAGAAGTGATACAAGTAATACAGATACTGAAGAGTAATCACATAGCCTGTTACATGTTTTTTTTTTCTAAATGTACAGTAAGACTAGAGACTGTCACCCTATGGTTTTTATTACTTTAAGTCTTTACATTATTTTATGTGTTGATTGCCTCTTTTATTTCCTAGGATTGCAGGAAAGTTGAAGGTCATATTTGCAATGTTGTTTATTGCCACATTTCTCTGTATTGTGTTTCCTCAGAGCAGAAGTCCTAGGACACAGTGCAGTGGGACAGATGGTGTTTGTGTTGTCTAACTATTTCAACATTTCACTTATTTCTACTCATGCTTAATTTCTTTCTTGCTTCGTGACTGAGCATTGAATGGGAGGAATGAGAATTCCCACAACTGAAGAAGTTGTTTCTCTGAAATAGGCAAAGGGGTACTGGAGCTGTGATGTGGGCTTTGACAGATGGAAATAAATTCTACATCCAGTTTGGTGCAGTATGAAAAATTCTAAAAATTAAATACACCTCTTGCAGTTAGCATTGTGACTCACTGAAACAGGCTGCAAGAGGAGAGAAAGGTTTGCTGTGCCATGACTGTACCTGCTCACTTTAATCTCAATAGTTTCAGGGTCAGTAAATTCAAAGTCATTCTGAATTTGCAGCACTTCCATTTGCTGATTCTTTCAGTCTTAGTAGTTGTCTACCACACCCACCCCTGTTCTTTTAGTGTGGTAAACAAAGAGGAGCTTGGAGCTGGGTGATGTTGGAGCCAGTCTTAAGATTAACTGGTTACTGCAAATTGTTTTGTGTTGAAGTGTAGAGTAAAGATAGTGAAGAGGAACATAATAGTATTCTCCTTCAATTTCATTTTAGTGTTGCAATGCATGAAGTTCTGGAGGGCAGGTCTGGTATCCTGCAGGTCTGGAAGGCAGCCCCTCAGACACTGCCTTTCACAGAGAAAGGCTAGAAACCATTTTGCTTCTATTTGCTGAAGAGTCAATTCTCTTCCATGTATATAATCAAGAATCTAAATTTTGCTAACTTACAGGCTCTCAAGAAATGTTGAAAATTAATTGTTTTAGCTCTTTTACCATGCTAGTGATTTGCCTTGAGCTAAGAAGCTTTTGCTGTTTAAGGCAAATGTGGTAACAGGATTTCTGTTGGTGTGATTCAAAGCAAGTTGTGGTTATGATAAGAGTATGTGAGTATGGGTCAGCTGTTTTCTTGTCTCAAAAAACAATTTACTCTGGAGAGCAGACTTGGTCTACATGTCCCACTGCATTTGGGAAGGAGAAAATTCCTGTGTCTGGAAAAACAGATCAAAGAGGAAGAAGGTGAGAAACAGTAAAATCAGGTTAGATTTCTCCAAGGGGGCAGTGGCCTGCTTTTTTATTTCTGGATACCTCGCTGTAGGATTTACCCATGTGGTGGCTTAACCTTGGTTGGATACCAGGTGCCCACCAAGCCATGCCAGCACATCCCCTCCTCAGCTGGACAGGGGAGAAAAGTAAAACAAAAGGCTCCTGAGTCAAGATAAGGACAGGGAGATCACCCAGCAATTACCATCACAGGCAAAAGAGACTCAGCTTGGGAAAGTTAATTTCACTTAATACCAATCAAATCAGAGTAGAGGAATGAGTAACAAAACCAAACCTCAAAAGACCTTCCCTCTACCCCTCCTTCTTTTCAATTTGAGTTTCATTCCCTATTTTCTCTACCTCCTCATGCCAAGCAGCACAAGGGGACAGGCACAAGGCCAGTGGCAGCTCCTGGTGAGGTCTGGTGGGGACAGGAGCAGGGACAAGTACCTGTGGGAGAGGGAGCAGGGCCTGTGCTCCAGCTGGAGCAGGTGGAGGCAGGTCCTGAAGGAGTCCTGGCCTCCTGGAAGTTCCTATAGTGGGCTCTATGTCTTTAGCCCAGTGTGGCATGTTGACAATGGCTGGGGAGAGCTCTGTTCTCGGGTTCTGTTCTGTGGTGGTTCCCTTTGGGACAGGTGGGTCCCCCAGGGCTCAGAGCTTTGTCTGAGTCTGCTCTTGTGTCCAGAGATCCAAGCCCCAGTGCCGAGGCCTCGCCCCCAATGGTTTCCACAACTCCATCATGGCCCCAGTGTAGAAGAGCTCCAGCCTTACCTGCAGCCTGTGAACCAGGGCTTGGGGTGCTCGAGGCCCAGAGGTGCTACCACTATCACTGCTTTGCTTTGGCAAATCCTTGGATCCAGCTAGCTCTGGCTTTTTTGGACACAGGGGAAGCCTCTGGCATCTTCTCACAAAAGGCACCCCTTTGCCCCCCACCACCACCAAAATGTTGCCATGCAAACACAATACACCCACCTAACATGTAGAATGAGTTCCCTAATCAATCAGCTGGAAGAATTTTATTGGTGCTGTCAAACAGCTTGGTTAGCAATTTCTGCCTCATCTCTGCAGAGTAGGCAGCTTCATCTACCTGAGTGTTAATGTGGCTTCATAAACAGCCAGAGAAATGGCCAGGTGTGATGCAGCATGGAGTTAGTGCAACAGTTGGCAGCAATGCAGCTGAAAGGCTGGATATCTTTGAGGAGATGCAGTACATGGCAAACAGCATATTTGTTTTCCATGTATTTTAAACTTCATTTATTTGTGCTCTTTGGTACTGGTCATCTTTAGGGGCAAAGCTTGTCAAAACCACCAAAGGCAGGAGAAGTACAGTAAACAGACATAGTTTGACTCTTGTGATATAGTAGCAAATACGTTTCAGTGCAATTGTTTGACTTGCAACCTATTTTTTTTTAATTTTGCATTACCCTTGGTCCCAGCCTGTGCAGCTCCTAGCAGAACGAACAGCGCCTTTCTTCCAACTCCAGCATGTCTCCTGTAGCATTTGGAACTCACCCTTCTCGAGCTGTGAAAGGACTAATATTAATACACCTCCTATCCTAGCTATTTCATGCTGCTTTTCAGAGCCGTATTCCACCCTGTGTCCCCTGCAGGACAGGTGTTGGTGCACTGCCGGGAGGGCTACAGCCGCTCGCCCACGCTGGTCATCGCGTACCTGATGCTGCGGCAGCGCATGGACGTGCGGAGCGCGCTCTGCGCCGTGCGGCAGAAACGAGAGATCGGCCCCAACGACGGCTTCCTGAGGCAGCTCTGCCAGCTCAACGAGCGGCTCCTGAAGGAGGGCAAGCTCAAGCCCTAGGACACAGCACTGCAGTGTTGCTTTTTAAGTTTCTCAGACCTTTAGAGGATGCTTTAGAGACCCAAATTGCAACCACCAGGCTAAAGCGAAACAGAATTCCTGCTTGTCTAGTGAGCGTATCCTTCTTGAACTCTGTGACTGTCTGTCAAGATGGTACAAAATTGTGTCACTGTTTGGAGCTGTTGCCATAAAGAGATGTTTTTAGAGTGATAACTCCAGTGATAACAGCTGTCTTCACACATATTTCAGACCCCCTGCAGACTCCATAGCATATGTGGTTTGCATTGACATTGAATGTGATTCATTTAAGCTTTGTCTTTAATCCCACCCAAGCACCAGTTCCCAAAAGCCCCAACACATCACTCACTCTTAGCAGGAGCACTGTAATTTCTAAAGCTTCTTTTTCATGCACACAGGTGCCTAAAGTTTGAATGTAGGAGCTTCAAGGAATGGGAAGCATATATACAATTGCACAGATGCATTCACTTGGAAAATGAAGTGCATGCAGCGTTTTGTGTGGATTTATGCAATACACAGTGTGATAGTAAAGCCATTCAGAGTCCATGCTTCATGCACACTATGTTTCCAAGAATAGTTTTTTATCTCTTGCTGTTACAATGGACATTAAATGGTCTATTATTAAATGCTCTTTTATTTTTATTTTGAAAGCATACTAGAAAAAAATGCCAAGAGCAAATGCTGAGGGAAGAACTTGAAAAAGGAAGAAATATTAGTCTTTAGAAGTGCTTGTGGTGGATGTATAATTAAGTACTAAGTATACTAATATAATGGCTTTCAAAGCTTGTATGGAATTACAGTGTCTTTATCTCTTCTTTACTATCACTGTTCAGTAACACAGAGTGGAATGACCACACGAGCAGATTCCTTCCAGTAGAGGTGTGCTTACAAAGCATTTTGCAGAAGAACACTCTTGACTTCTTGGATTGCTTGCATGGTATCATTAACTAGAAATGAGCATTGTAATGTACCACACTGTGTAGGAAATATTTACACTATATTCAAATAAATGATGTCTTGATGCTGTTTACTACAGATGAAATGAGTCATTGCAGCTTTGGGAGAGGGAGCTTTGTTTGCACTGTGCCTGACTTGGTGTGTAAATGTGTACCTGTGAGTTACAGCACTGTGTTAATGCAAATAATCTCCCACTGCAAAATGGAATTGTTGGTTAAACCATCAGAAACCAGAGTGACTGTTCCATTCTCACCTGTGCTTTGATGTAGTTCCAGGATGAAACACAGTGTTTTAAACATAAACACTGTATTGGTAACACGTGATCCCAGATGTAGTTTTGTCTACTCAGTTTAGTAATCAGGAATCACAAGGGACATGCATGCATTGTTGTACTCCTGTTGTTGGGGTTCTGTGGTTTGGAGATATGGGAGTGGAAGCTCTGTACAGCAAGGTAACATTCTTGAAGTTAAACTCCAAAGGTGAGTTTAACTTTAACTTGAGCTTGAGCTCCAGTCTTACTGTTTTTCCTTCCACAGGGTGGAACTGCCACATCAAGGAGCCTTTTCTCTGTTGTGTCCTTCAGGTGATGGTTGAGGAACACTCTACGTGGTGTCCCTGTCACATCTCCAGAGTCACTCAGTATCCAGTGCTTGCTTTGAATCAGGATGGTTCCGTAGTTATAAGCTGTAGTCAATTCCAGTAATTACATACCTGTCTGCTTTCTCCCATTGATCCATTTAATCAGGAGTAGATTAATTGCTTCTTCAAAATTCCTAGTTACTAATTTAATGTTATGTGAAATAGGAGTAGTGGCTTTAGAAATAGGAATACTGGCCTTACCTTTTCTACAATGCTGACTTTTCATACTGCAATCTAATTTATAAACTACCCTTTAAAAATTTTATTTTAAACATAGATATTTATTTTTTTTTGTCTTGTCTCACACCATGTACTCTTAACACCTATTTGCACTATAAGGAAGAAAAGGGAAATTCATGTGGATGCACTTTATCTTTCACCTGTTACTTGGAAGTCAAAATTCCAGTCCATGAAAGAGCTAAGAAACCATTAGACCTTTGTTACTCTTGGGTAGATTGTAAGAAAGCTGGAAGTTGTCAGATTGGAACCAGAAAGGTTTATTAAAATTGAGTCTGTTTACCTTATGGTGATGTTTCTGTATTTGTAAGCATCAAGAAATATTGAAAATCAAAACAGAGGGGAATGTGTTCTTACATTGAAGATAATCTTTTGCTTCATGGGACACTGGTCACTCTTATGGTAACTGGCCCATTTGTCTCGGTAGAACAAAACTGATTTAGCAAATGTTTCGTAATATGAGGGTGGAGAGGCAGAAGTAAGACAACATAAATTGGTTTTAAAAGTGAGAGAGGATATCATATTTAAAATTACTGATAGGCAACTCAGCAATGAAACCATTTCTGCTTTTAGAACAGACTAAAAATAGTTAAAATGTCAGATCACTGCTCCATTAATAGATCATACCCTTTCTCTCAGTCTTGCTCTCCAAGTACAGCCATGTTGCAAGTTCCTCTGCACATTTTATCTGCCCAGAAAGATCTTGTATGCCTCTAATCCACAATTATATGCTCTATATTTCTAAATTTCTCTTCCTGATTGTAGAAGGAAAGATTGTATAAAACATGGGGATGAGAGCTTCCTTTCCATGTAATATGAAATTGAGAATGTATTGGAAGAAATAGAACTTCTTATTCCTCTGAAATTGCTGAGCACCTGCACTTTGCTGTGAGATCTTCCTTACAAGAATGCTAATTTGGGGAGATACATTTTAAAAGAACTGTTTGTTGCAAACAGCAACACTCTACTTCTGAAGTTGAAACTTCCTGGCCACAGCTGAAATAGTGTAATCAGGAATTACATTAATATGTTTATATTAATATGAATAGCAGTGTGGTAATTTTTGTGTGGGTAGCGTGTGGAGAAGCAGTGTGTCTCTATAAAATAAGCATCTCTCATGGAACAAACATCTCTACCATGCAAAGTCTAGCCCAATGAAAGAAAATGCAACAGCTTAGGGTTTTTTGTACTTAAGAGTTAGTGAAGTTAGAGAGGATGGGAAGAGAAAAGATGAAAAACTACTCATATTTTCCGACAAGGAACAAAGATGAAAGTCCAGATGGACAAAATGATGATCCATGTAAAATTCACCCACTCACACTGAACTAAATTTTTCTTAGCTGATGAATAAGTATAGAAAAGAAGTCTGTAACTAAAAATTAAGATAGAAAGCAAAAATAAGATTTTGTAGTTCTTTCATCATCCTTTGGTCGTACAGTGAGACTACAGCGTGGATAGGGGTTGTACCTGACATGCAGCTCTGCACCACAGGTACTGCCAGAAAGACTTCATGAGACAATGGTGCTCTGCTGAAAAATGAACGTTTCATGAAGTTATTTCAAACTTGGAATTAATGGCATCTGAATGCAGAACTAGCAGCCACAAAACATTGTATTGTAATTACATTTTTGGGTGTTAAGCCTGTATTAAAATTGGACCCCCTTTTCTAATTATGGTTGGTGATGTGAGAATTCATCTTCTTAAAAGGCCTTGGAGGTGAAAGGCACCATGTATAATAATAATAATGAATGTTTCTGAGTTGAAAAATTTGTGTCAAATACATCTTCCTCCTCCTCAGCAAAGAACAGCAGAAAGAATATTAGCAATGTTTATTTTCATCATTTAGATACTTTCATTGAGCTGCCTTCTGTTGTCCAGAACTAATCAAATCTCTGATGTCAGAAACAGAAGCAGGACTTTTTACCTTCTTTTATTTTTTATATTAGTTCTGCTAGTTTACTATGATGTTTTTAGCACAAAGAGACTATCTAGTGGTGTCTTTCTTAGTTTAGCACAGAAGCTTTTTCTAAAATTACATTCTGGGCTTCACCAGTGAGTACAGCTAGAAATAGAACAAACCTGAGAGGTGTCTCTTAAGGATTTGCTGGTGAGAATTAGTGTCCCATTAATGTTTTCTGCAAATAAATCCTGGAAATAATCAAGTGTTGGTTGTGTTTTTTAATTTTAGTTCCTGTATGCTGGTGTTGCTGGCTGGCTGACCCACCAGATGGAGCTGTAGGCTTGTTAGTCCTCCCTGGAGAGTCATCTCAGAATCCCTGAACTGTGCTGTGGTGTAAATCCAGTGTATTCTTATCACTGAAAAAGACAAGCCACCAGAATGATTTAGCAGTCTCTGACAGGAGAATAGGAATCCATTTATTTTGGCTTCTTGCAGGAGATCACATCACGACATTCAGCCTGTTGTATTCACTCTGTAGTGTGTGACATTGCAGAATTCTTCTGAGACAGCTAAAAGATGATTGGGAAAGGCTGCATCATGGAAAACAAACAAACAAACAAACAACTGTTTGAGAAGCAAAATTGTGTCAAAAACAATTCCTGGGCAGTGTGTGAAGTTTGAGGTATAGTCCACAGCTGCACCTGTACAGCTTCGGGCTTGGATGCTGAGCAGACCCCTTTGGCCCAGGTGTGGGCAGAGTGAGCACCTGAAGCTGGAAGTGACAGATTTCAGAAACTGGTTTAGTTTATCTCCTTGCATTGTAGTGTTGCAGTGGCAGCATTTCAGTTGCTCAGATGCCTGAGTTCAGGAAGCAGCAGCAATGGATTCATTAGCAAAGGCTAAGTACAAGATGCAAATTAACTCCTTGAACCTGCTCCCCTGATGTCTCTGATTCCTTCTTAGAGCACTGGGTTGGGCTGAGGTAGGGTTAACTTTATTCCCAGGGTGTTTTGGGTTTGTGCTGAGCACAGTGATGACCTTACAGAGATGTTTTTGTTACTGCTGAGTAGGGCTGACACAGAGCTGAGACCTTTTCTGCTGGGGAGGAGCTGGGGGTGGGAAAATGGGGGAGACACCTTGTGACAGCTGTACCCAAGGGGCCAAATGGATCTTCCAGACCGTTTGGCACCATGCTCAGCATGTACACAGCCTGGAGTGGTGGTGTTATTCGTCCCCAGTAACAGCTCCACAGGGTGGGTCCTGCTCTCCCAGAGGTGGCTGAACACAAACGACTGCCCACAGGAGGAATTCGCTCCTCTCTGCTTTGCTTGCATGTGTGGCTTTTGCTTTTCTATTAGAATGTCTTTATCTCATCCCGTGAGCTTTTATCCTTGGGATTCTGTCCCCAGTCCCAGTGGATTTGGCTCCTGGCTGTGGGCAAACCACAACGCGTGGCTGAGGATGGAATTTTTCAGCTCAGAGAAGGGAAGAGCAGCTCAGCTCTGCATATAAGGGGTATCAGTCCCACCCTGGTAGTGAGGGTTCATTCTGAGAACACTCTATCCTTGATAACTCTTTTGGGTTTTTTCCTGTGCTTCATTAACAGTACAAAAAGCAAATTTTTTAGGAAGACTGCAGCACAGACCATGTCTGCTTTGCTGCAGAAAGGACTGTGAGCAGGCTAGCAGCTACAGTGTATGAAAGAATGTTTTTGTAGTTAAGGAATCTGAATGTCTGAGATTTGGGTTCATTCCTGGCATCTATTAGGCTGCCTCCCAGTTTATGGACAGAAATTTTAAGCCACAGGCTAAATACAGCTTCTGGTTTTTTCATTCAGAAATTGTTTTGGTATTATTTCTCCAAGTGGGTTATACAGATAAATGTTATAACAATTTATACAGGGGATTGATTGTTTAAGTACTTGAGAGAAGCTACATCAAGGAGATTTTTATGTTTTATGTGACAGTTGATTACTCTAAATGAGGTTCTCTCCAGTAGGCCTACACTGACAATGGGAGCTTTTGGAAATATTCTTTAGGCAGATATTACATGAAAAGAAAATAACAGAAGCTGAGTTTTGAATACATACAATTCTGAAGGCATTTAAACAGGGGGGTAAAGAGGTAGCAAGGATTAATTGATTACCAGCACCCAGCTTTGTTCTACTCTCCTGCTCTGCTTTTCAGCTGTACTCTGAGCTGCCACAAGCTCTGATGTCACTTTGGCCAAGGGCTCTATTGGAGAACACCCACACATCGTGGTATTCCTATCTGACAAAAATAACACCAAAATTTTGTTTAGTTCCTGGTCCTTCAAGTCCTTCACAACTCTAAGCCAAAAATACATTTACTACATGTAGGTAGGCAAAATTATGCTTAGAAGAACATTTGCAATGGCTGGCAGTTTGGTTTCCTGTGTTTGTGAGACCATCATTAACTGCTCTGACAAAAGGAGGAAGCTAATGAAAGATAATCAGTGCCACTAATGATGATGATGATGATGATGATGATAGAGAAAAGATAATCACCATATTGGAGGCAAATGATTTGACAGCAGCCTGTATTAAAGAATGTGTTAAGAATATATCCTGACTGAGGAGAAAAAGTCTTGTGGAAAGAAAGTAGTATGCTGGATTCCTCCATAAAAACAGAGTAATTTCTGGGATGGTTGGATGCCTAAGGTGTGGGCTGGAGGAAAGGAGGAAGGGGAACTGACAGTAAGGCCACACTGTAGTATGAAACAATTCATGATTTCTTTTAGACATTTCTTGGATTATTTGGAAAGGAGAGCACTTCTGACAATGCTGATTTCTAATTTTTGGCTGAGCAAAAGACTAGGAAGGAAAGCACCTTAAAATACATTTCAGACAGCAGTGTTTCAGGAAAGGAGCATTGCAGAGAGCAGCTGTGCTGAAGCTCACTCAGCACCACGGTGCCCTGCTGGGTGTATCAGTCTGTGTGGGGATGAAGGGGTGAAATGTCACCAGGTCATTGCTGCTGTTCAGCATCCAGGGCACACCAAGGGACACCACACCTACACATTAAATTTGGTGACACCTCTTTTCTGTACCCATTCCATGCCAGAATGGATTGGAAACGATTCTGAGTCTTACAGTCACAGGAGAAAGTCAGACTGAATCATTTTTAGATCTCCTCTACAGGAAATATTTTCATGAGGAAGTCTGTGACAAGCATGGCAGTGACACACGTGTCCCTGTACTGCTTTAAGAAAATGTTTTGTTTTCAGTGACTGTGACAAGCTCAGTGTGGTATCTTAACCTTCCTAAAGGCTGAGATGCTTTCTGATTAAAGAATTTAGCCTAACATCATTTGCAAATCACTTGAAAGTGTATGTGACTTTGAGACATGGAAATTCCGATATTTTCACCACTATCATCTTGGTTTTGCAAGGAAAAATACCATAGATGAGATTTTGAAACATGATACATGAATACATCTTAGGCATAAATGCCCTAGACCTAAAGTCATCATTTTTCTTTTTTTGTTGGTTATATCATGGCTGGAAATCATGGCTGGCCAAGTTCTTGTGTTTAAAATGAGCAAATGTCCTGTATTCAACACTTCACGGAATGGCAGCAGAAACAGTAGTATGCAATGAATTTAAAGCAAATGCAAACATGTGTTAGGTGGGTTTTTCAAAGAGTTAAAAAGAAAGAAAGAGCACATCAAAAATTATGATGTACAACATTCTGGCTGTTTAACCTAAAAACATATTCCAAGCAAACTATTTTTAAGGAAAAGTAAACACAACGACTTCTCATATTGAAATGAAGCTCTTCCCTACTTCTTCCAGTATATTTGAGAAACAAAATGTAGAGCTCTTCGTTTTGGAAAGGGGAGGGAAAAAGCTACCCTAACCCTAATCATTGCCCTGCAGAGACTGAACTACTGAGCTACAGTTTCTAGATTTATTTACTTTATACAGCAAAGAGAAGAGGAGTAACAACAATGTTAAAAGTCTGAAAAACCTTTGGAAAACACAACAGCCAAGTTTCAAATATGGATGGAGGCAGAAGCAGGTTTTAATCACAATTGTTAGGAAAAAACTGCAGAAAGGTTTGTCAGGTTGCAATTCATTGTGGTCTTGTCTATCACCATTTGTTGCCAGGCTCAAAAATTAGGTAGATATGAGAGGTTTTTTGCATAAAAGTTGTAGAATATTGTCACTAACCCACCCCCACACACCCATTTTATTTCACACTGACAAAAGCTGAGATGAATGAGTTGTCTGGCCCTTCCCACTTTGTATAGTCATTGGCTGGCTTGGTTCTAAAAGGGATTTTAAAAAGGGGAATAATGTGCCTTTGCCTGGGATCTGAGAGCGTCAGGGTGCTGAAAAGCTGGTTTGTGAGCTGCCACCATGCAGATCTCTTGGGCTGTGTGCGCTGTCTGTGTCGTGACACAAATCACATTTCAGTCTGTGCAAGGGTGGCAGATGTTTAAAAATGATGCTACAGAAATCATTCCTGAGATCACTGAAAATACAGAAACCCCGATGGAGCCGACTTTCAGCAACAACAACACAATGAATCAGGCAAAACATGGAGGAAGACACATACAACAAGCTCCAGAGCTTAACGGTAAGAAAAATATCATTATTACCATTTTGGATCATAGCAATTTATAAAATAATGCTTGTTATCATATATATTTGTTTATTAACACTTTTAGGTGTGGTCCAACTGCCTTAAGTGATAGGGATTTACATCTACTCTTGAAGAAATATGAATATAAACATAACAAAAAAAAAGTTGGAGTTTACTGATGCAAACATCATCTCTCTGCCCAGCTGCTCTCTGCAGATGACTCCAATACATAAAACCTGTAGTAGATATTACTTAACACTGCTCTGTGTTTTCTGAGGAAATACCACAAGTTATCTTTCCCTCTTTATTATTAGGATGGGGGAGTGGGTTGACAGTGAAGACAATAATATAAATTAATAATATTTAGGAACATCCACACCAGTTGTGACTAAGATCACACATCAAAATTGGCACATTGAGGTTGTGTTCAGCTAAATGAGAGAAGTGTGATGCTCGCTGTCCTTTGCTGACAGACAGATCTTCAGTCAGGTTCCAGCAGCCAAAATTGCTTCAAGATACATTGCCACTGCACTTGACCAAATATCTAACTTTAGCAGTGATGCAAGACACCAGCCTTTTGAGAACACAGAAGATGGAAGGCTAACACCAGACAAAGGTAGCTTTAAAAAAGTTTTCCACTGGAAAATAGGGCAAGCTTGGTCCTCCAGACACACAGCATAAAGCACAGAGCAACACAGCCACAGATCAAATTTAGAATTTCCACTGTTGTGCACTGTAGATCTTAGCCAGCCTGCTTTTTCTGGGGACAACTGGAAGGCAATTGTGAATTTCTGCTGCAGCTGTCATTAAGGTATTTAAAACCAATGGGTTAACAGTATTTTAAAAGAAAGGAAAAAAAAAAAATAATACCTTTGAGAGTGTGATCTTAAAAGATTCTTTCATGATTTTAAGGTTCTTAAAGGATCTTAAAAGGTCCTTAAATTCCTGAACAGAGGGGGAGCACTCTGTTCCTCCCAGGAACCATCAGGTCAGAGCAGGTTGGGGTTTTTGGCACATGTGAATACCTTCCTTTTTTAGCCTCTTACTGCTCTGACATCAGCTGGGAACCTGCCCCACTGATTCGTGCATATTTTTCAAAGTGGAAAACAACTTAACTTAAGAAATCAAAGGCTGAAGGAGACTGGGTAGTTGTTTAAAATACACAATGGTCTTGCATACTTGTTTTGGCATCTTTAAGATAAGGAATCAAAATTATGATCCAAAGTGGCCAGACATTTCTGGAACATGTGCACCAGACCATGGGTGATTTTGCACCTGCACATTTACAGAGCAGGACATAAATGCACATAATATCACCTGTATATATCACCAGCACGTGCCTGGATATTTAACTGTCTGAGCATTATAGAGGTACAACCTTCTCCAACACATTTTTTTATTTACAGACAGACATCATTTTCTTAGATGGTTAGGGAACTTAGTGTTAGACTAAAGTGCACATGGAATTCAGTTGACAGGATTTTTGTCACAGCTGACAAAGGTTGCTTAATTTCATTGATGCAGAACTTCAGACTTTTAAAAAATGAAATCTTGTTAGCTGTGCTTTGAAAAATATATACATACTTTGACAAATATAAATGTGAGCACTGAAAATCATGTTTCTGTACTTCACAGGAAAACCAAAAATTGAAATATCTGTACAAATACTGTTCTGTCACTAAAGATTCAGGGTCAGAATTCTCTTTTGCTGAACTAAACCTTGTACACAGTGGGGACAATGGGCTTAACAGACACAGCCTTCTCTGTGAGCTGACCTCTGAAGGCTTCTACTACAAGTTCTGTTCCTGAGTTAAAAGTGCCCTTTTGACTAAGAGAAGAACATTAATGTGTTTATCTAGATGAAGTTATTTGATAAACACTTAAAAATCAAATTTTGTGTCTTCCCAACAAGTCAATTAACCAAAGATGTCATTTGGGAAAAGAGACACTTCTGGGAAAAGTTCCTACAACTGGAAAGTTTCTAAGTACTTAATACTAAGAAATTTTACATTTTCTAATGCATCATTTGCCTCTAGTTATCCATTGAGAAAAAGGAGAGGAAAAAATCTGTAAGGTTCCTCATAGCCAGAAGATGCCTCTAGCTCTCTGAGGGGGATATGTGGGAACATGTGGAATTACCACAGAGAGTAGGAAACTTGGAAAAGCTGGGGCCTGAATGGTGGGAATTCTTTAGTGCTGTTATTACCTGTGATTTCTCTAACCTGGAACACATTATGCAAGCTAAAAATCACTTAAGGAACACTTTTGTTGTTGCAAAAGAATTTAAATCTGAAATGTACCTGGTGGATTTTATTCACCAGATTGTACATTGTTATTCAAGGGTCCTACAACTGGAGTAGCTGAATAGTCAGGAGCTGCATGAGTGAGCCTTTTGAGGTATTTCTCTTGAAAACCTTCTGTTCAAGACATTCAGAGAGAGATCTGCTGCAGGAACTGTTGTGGTTTGACACTGGCACAACACCAGACACCCATGAAAGCCACTCATTCACTGTTCCCTGCCCCAGCTGGGCAGAGGAGAGAAAAATTAACAAAAAATAATCGATCAGATTATAGCATATATGGTCTGATAAGAGAATGAGATAAACTGAGCTGGAGGTACCCCTTGGAGGTTTATGAGCTAAGAACCAGGAGAAAAACACTCCAAGGGTAAAACAAGCTTGGCTTAGAGGTACAAAGTGACTTTATTACTAACAAAATCTGAGGAGGATAATGAGAAGTAAAATAAGTCCTTAAAAACACCTTTATTCCCCCAAGCCGTTCCTCCTTCCCACCGACAGCGCAGGGAACCGCGGCGTGGGGGGTTTGGTGGCTGCTTTCTCAAAGCTGGCCCGGAAGGCAGGCAGGAATAAAGGAATTAACAGGAACGGAGGAATTAACAGCAATTAATGTGTTCCCTGTCCGCAGATGCCTCCGAGTTCAGCTGCAGGGAGATGCGCACCACGCGCTATGTGACGGACGGGCCGTGCCGCAGCCTGAAGCCGGTCAAGGAGCTGCTGTGCTCGGGCCAGTGCGAGCCCTCGCACCTCCTGCCCAACTCCATCGGCAGGGGCAAGTGGTGGAGGCACAGCTCCCTGGATTACCGCTGCATCCCTGCTCACACCCGCACCCAGCGCATCCTCATGGCCTGTCCCCAGCAGGAGACTCGGACTTACAAATTCCGAGCGGCCACGTCCTGCAAGTGCAAGCGCTACACTCGCTACCACAACCAGTCCGAGCTCAAGGACTTCGGCAAGGAAACCCCCCGGCCCCAGAAGAACAAGAAGCCCCATCTCTCCAGAGCCAGGAGCGGCAAATCCAACCAGCACGAGCTGGAAAATGCTTATTAGGAGGTGGCTCTGGGTGACACGGACTAGCAGCTCTGGATGTTTTCTGAACCATCAAAAGGCACTCAGAGGCCACAGCACGATGTTCTGACTGCAGTAGGTTCCAATTCCTTCTGCTAAGATGGGTCAAAGGCTCACATAGGCAAAAATCTATCAGATTATAGCATTTATGGTCTGATAAGAGGATGAGAGAAAGCGAGCTGGAGGGAGCTGCAGGTGCCCCTTGGAGGTCCTTGGAGTTTGTGTGTCCTGTACGAGTAGGAAGGCAGAGGAAAGTGAAGCTGTTGTGGTGACAATCACGCTTTGCTAGAAACCCCTCCACTCACTTTATGTGAAAAGAATATTGAGATTCCTTTCCCAGACAACGATGCAGGACAAGCTTGCAATTAGGGAAGCACCAGGAGAGTTAGCACTCTCCAAAGGAGCTGTAGAAAGTTAGGGGTAGCAGGGATTTCAGGTTATGGTGAATGAAATCAAATTGTTGGAAAATTAACACACTATCAGATGTCCTCATGCGCCAGGTGTTTCCTCTCGAACACAGAAATCAAAATATGACACTAGTGTTCTCAAAACAGAAGTGTGACAAATCTATTTCATACTTTTTATTAAAAGATTATGGGGTTGACAAATTCAAAACTGAGATTTGGCAAGTGTCACCCTATTGATTTAGGAACAATACTTTGTTTGAGCAATTCAATAAATTCTTCTAAATGGAGCAGATTTATGAAAAAGATGCTCCTCTCAAGCTGGATAACCTCTCTGATGTTTGTCCTGTAAACAGCTAACATTATACCTAGTTTAACATAGAAGATACTGATTATTCCTTATTTCCTAGAACACATTTGTCTTTAATATCAGCTTAGATACGTCCATTTACATTTTCTAGTCTGTAGTTTGGATTATCTGGCCACACACTCTGTAGCACTAAAACTGTGCAAGCCAAGCTCTGTGAGAAAGGTGGTGGTTCTGCATTAAAAGTGAGCCTTTGCTGAGTCATTAATTCCTCTAGAAAAGTCTTTAGGATATGCAGCTTTGATAAGGCTTTCGTTTGGCAGCAACTTTCCTTTTCTTAGCTTCTCAACACTCAGACTAATGTTTGTGTTTTTACATTAAAGAATACTGTTAGAAAGTAATTGTCACATACTGCATATGTCCTGTAGAATTTATGCTGAAATAATATAAACTGTGGAAATTTGCAATGTTGATAGATTTTTCAGTTATTTTATGTGGGACCAGAATCTAGAGAGAAAAGGTATCATTTCAGAGAATGAATTACGTATTTATTTTTTTTTCCCAGAAATTATTTATGCAATGTTTTAACTTGTAGAGAACGAGAAGTAATACTGCTTTAAAAAATTTGTCTGTTATTTTTAATTTTAAATACATTGTTAATAAAGTAGAAATAATGATTAATTATAGAAAGACTCATTGATTTTCAGCTACACTATAAAGCTGATTCCTGCAAAGCCAGGGATTTACAGAACAGTCAGGGTGTCAAGTCCAGTTTCTGTGATCAGAAGTGTTGAGGTCCTTAATTCTAACAACCTACACATCCCCAAAGAAACTCCACCCTGGAACTCCCTGCCTCATGGAAAAGATCTTCCTGGGCAGATGAGTAGCTCAGAATTATTTCCGTATTCTCGTTCCTGCTTCCCCTGAACATTTCCTGATTTGCATGATCACAACCAGATAAAGCCACCAAAGAAAACAATAAATCTGTGAACTCTCAATCAAGAGTTCTTGATTGAAATCTGATTGCTTCAGGTTTTTTTAATAAAAAAAAAAAATATTATAAAAAGAAGTGTGGAATCCCCTTGCAAGTGCTGCTAAGCAATGGTAAATTTTTTTTACAGTTTAGTATTGTAGACCTATGCTCATTTTCATTTAGTCTTTAAGAAACATCTTCCAATAAAGTCAGAGAAAACTGAGCTTGGCCTGCACATAGCATGCAGGGCTTTCAGTGCAGATGTAAAGGTGAGCAGCTTTTTCAAGTCAACCAGTATTTAAGTGGTCCTTTCCTTACTATGACTTGATACATCAGATAAAAACCCAAAATAAACCATTGTCACAACTGCAACAACATTTTCCAGACTTATCTCTGGCTTCATGAATTTGACACTTGGGGTTTAATTTTCAGAATTCAGTATGAGCACCTGCAAGCCCTGCTGAAGTGAGAAAAGCAGTTCAGTTCTCTGGAAAGCTGTTCCACAGTTTCTCAAGCATCTAAAGTCAATGAAATATTGTTTTTTAAATATTGATTGTGATTAGCCAGTGAAGGAGACTTGCTCCACTTCATCTCAGTCTTCATCCTGGGTTTCAGGCAATTTAGAAGCATCAGGCCTGCTTCAGGTGTACCACTAATGTCTTTCTCCCAAATATCCCACCTAGAAGAGGTCCTTTTAGCCCAAAAAACATGTTGTCCCATACAGCTCTTGTCTACCAAAAGTGCCAATGTTAATTAGCACTGCTGTTAATCTGCCACTCAGAATCTTGCATTTTTCTGACTCACAATGTAAGGATTTGTTCTTTGCAAGTTATAAACACTTTTACAAGAATCCCAGTGGCTGAAGAGTCCTGGGGCATTTTTACTGCTGTATTTCCTCTCAACACCCATCCTGTTTGCAGTGATTTGTCATTGGTTTTACCACAGGTTAAAGGTGGATGAGATGAGCAGTCTGCAGATATGATTGGTCTTCTGTAATCCTACTCCTGAAACAGTCACCTCCTACCACCACTTTTGCAATTTATGTTGTCAGGATAGGGATAGGAAATAGTGTTTTGCTCACAGCTGGAAAAATCAAAATATAGGATGTTTCAGAGGTAGACTGCCACATTCTCCTCCACCCCCACACCCATGTGGGTTCTTTTCAGACAGAGAATTTGGGATTGTTTATTTATTTAATTATTTTCCCAATCACCCTCTGTTTTGTTAACCTCTAATATAGATGTGCATAATCTGAGAGGAGGTAGCATCCCTAACTGTAGGTTTCAGAAAGTGTCTGTAGGAAATTTGAGTTTCTCTTTTACACAAAATTATATACTTTCAGTTCTTTTCAAAGAATGGACAGTGACCTGCTGTGTGCTCCTTCTACAAAAGCATTAGATAATTTTACTTTGAAATCATAAATTCTTCAAACAAGAGTCAATGTCTGCAGTGTCATTTTTGCAATAAAACAGCACAACTGTGCATCTTTTAGGTGCTGCTGAGGTCTAAATAGTAACAGGTCACTGCTTTTACCTTCCCTTGGCAGGAGCCAGCTGCTGTCAGAACTAGCAATGCCATAATGGACAGACCTCAGAAAAGCAATCAAATCACTTTTTTCAGACAGAATTCATGATTTCTCCAATTCTGCTTTCCCACTCTGCCCATTTTTATTCCCAACAATTTGTGTAGACTGTGGCACATTCTCTACAATACACTCACTGGCTTAAAATAGTCACTGTGCTTATTTCATTTCTTTTTCTGGCAAAAATACAATTCTGCTATTATTCAGTGAAAAATAAACCCACCAGCAGAAGAAGGACCCTGCTGGTATCCACAAGGCCCCAAAGATTTTGCACAAGGTTCATCTTTTTAATTAGAAATTTCTCAATAAAGAGAATAACTTTGTCCAATGAAGTCCTAGGCCCAGAATACACATCACATGTGTGTTCTGCAAGTGTGGTTGAGAAAGTCAGCATTGTGAAATACGGACAGAATAAACATGTGTTTTTTTAGCCATATGACATCAACTTATAATTAGCTTGTTTCACTCAAATTAGTGCAGCATATGGGCACACAGAACAACTTTTCTATAATAAACAGCCTTGAAAGCCTTAAATTATCACATAACATTATTTATATGTAGCTGGAGTTTGGATTGAGCATGCTGTGCAGCTGTAACCTGAAATTTGATAAAATGGAACTCCCCTTGACAGGCCAGTAATGGAAGTCCACTTCTAAAATAACTCAGCATTTAAAATAAAGCCAGCACAAATTGCAGAACTTGCAGCACATGCAGCCAATGTAATTTAGTTACACAAAACAGTGCAGCTGCTCTCCTTGCAGTCCTAGAGCCATCAAAGGACAATTCAAGTCCAAGTTTTTTCAAGGGATTGATATTTTTCTTCCCAGAATTGTGGAAACAGTTTTTATCACTGAATGTTGGAGAGTCAAGCAGCAGAGTTCCATGGACAAGGCTCATGATGCCTTGTTGTCATTTCACTAAATTGGGAATATGGGGCTTTGCTGCATTTTTTTATATTATTCACCAAAATGAATTTTACTCTGGGCAGAGTAAAACAAACACAGTGTGTCTGAAGAGCAAAGGGGGGAAGTAATGCTGATTCTTCTGTCTCTGTAAACCATTTCTCATGCTTCATCCTGAACTTTCTTTCAATCCTAAAAGCTTTCACTGTTCTTCTATGAGAACAAGTTCTCACTATAAAAAGAGGACAATAAAACTAATCAGTAAAACCTGAATAGAGGTAAAACTCATCAGCACATGCCCTGCTAATTCTGCAACATAACAAACACAAAGAGAGCCTTTAAAACACTTCACCCTTACCACATCCCAGTGTACAGATAACTGAACACTTCCAGGGATGGGGCAGCCACAGTTTTTCTGGGCAACCTGTACCAATGCCTCACCACCCTCACAGTAAAGAATTTCTTCCTAAAATCTAACCCTCTTCCAGTTTAAAACCACTGTCCCTCCATCTGTCCCCTGACTCCCTGATGCAGAGGGCTGCCCATGTTTCCTGTAGACCCTATTTAGGTGTTGGAAGTCTGCTCTAAGTTCTTCTGGAGCCATAAACACCCATTTTAACCCTCCCAGGTGAGGCAGTGTGTGATGTGCCCCATATTGGCCACTCAGATTACAACTGATACCAGTGGGCCTGTCATGACACCTGGGAACTCTCACTTTAGATAGAAATTGGGAATTTTCTTATGAACTTGAGAACACATTGGTCTGTTCATGGTGTCCACAAGGCTAATACCATCATTTTCATCTCGGAGTAACCCCAAATCCTTGACTGAGTCCTGAGTCCCAAATCCTTGACTGAGTTACAAATCCAAAGTCATGCATCTCCCCCCTGAAGACTCCCACATCAGGCTGTTGGAGCATTAGCCCTAAGGCTCAAGCTTTCTAGTTCATGTCTTTCCAGGCAATTTAAATATACTCTCAGACCAAGGAATAACAGGGCATTTATTTCATGGTTATCAAGCCCCTAAATTAAACAGACATCATTATCACTCCACCAACAATTTAATGCTTGCAGCATGAGTTTATTTCAATTAAGAAAACAACTCAGCTCTGGCTAAATAAATAAGTGATGTCATTCTTCATTCAGGCCTCCAGATTCTTTGGTGTAAAAACTTCCCTTAGGAGAGGTTTTGGGACACGGTGGCTCCTCTGAGACTATTTACATCTCTCAATTTCTCTAATCTCTTCTTCCTTCCTTCCTCCCATCTATTTCCTTCCCTTTCACTAAAAACTGGCCAGTATTTAACTCTAATGCTTCCAGTCTGCCCAACATGCTTTTAGAATTGGGTGGTTGTTGGTTTCTTGTTTTGTTGGGGTTTTTTTATAACCAGAAATAAGGCTTAATTTAAGGTAATTACTTTCCCATTTGGAGAGTTTTGCTATTTGCAGGGCCTTATTTTTTTCCCTAGTCAAATTAGCAGGAGAAGTTAGTTTTAAAAGTGATAGTTTTCTCCTAAAATTGTTCTTGAGATTAAGGGTAGCGCTCAAAACCCAAAACTTCTCACTCATGTTGAATTTCTGCATGTCTAGAAACAAAAGTAGTGCTATCAGGAAATTATTGAGGGGAGGAAGAGGACAAACAACAGCATAGACTTCCAGTGAAAATATGTGTGTATTTAAGCCTGATCACCAATTAGTATGGGCTTCCAAATAAATTAATCTTCAAATCAGAGAGGTGTCCAGACTCCTTCTAGGAGTCAAAAATGGGCCAATTGGAAAAGATACTTTTCTCTAGAACTGTTTCTTTTCAGTAATATCTCTAATATGTCATTGAGAAGTCAGAAACAGTCATAAGGATTGAACTTGCACTTGCAGTGGAACAACAGGACTTTGTGGAATGAAAAGTGTTAATAAATGCAAATATTCAATGGAGCATTGTCCACTGATAGGAGTAAGTGAATAGGACATCCTTAGTGGGAAAACTGGCATAATTTCAGAATCCAAGCATCACACCCTCAGACAGATCCCTTTCTTCTGTTTGGAGTGTTGTCTGTCTAACTTGTAAGGATTTTAACTAGTTCTTCATTATTTTGGGGGTTTGGAACCTCAAAGGGGCCATTGGATGTGTGCAACTGGTTTGTAGCACAGTCTGAGCTGGCAGTTTGCATGTGAGCAATAAACTCAGCCCACATCCAATTTACTTTTAAGCTACACAGCCCTCAAATCTGTAATTCTGGTCTGGTCAGCAGTGCCATCACCCTGTATTTACTGAAAAACACCACTATTATTTTGAAGTATGTGTTACATATAGACATGCCAATGGACCTTGAATTTACAAACAGTGGAAATATAAATTCTAATATATATTTAGAGTGTAGATAGAATGGCACAGGCCAAAGGGCATTAATTAAAACATTTTTTATGGGTGGTCTTTAGGGAAATGACAGTTATGGCAAAATTTATTTGGACCTGGCTCTTCAGGGAGACCTCACACACAAGTCTGGTGAAAGGCTGGTCCAGAAAAAAAACTTAAAAAAAACCCAAAAAAAAAACCCAAAAACATAACTAAGAGGAAAGTCATGCCCAAGAGATAACTACAACTGATATGGATTTCTGTGCAGCTGTACTGATTTTTGATATCTGGCTCCTAAGACAGTATTTAAAGGACAATCACCCAGATTGCATTTCTGTAGTTTAAAAAAAGATCTTCTATGTAAGAAAGGCCAAAAAAGCCATACTAATCAGTCAGAATAAAAACATTTAGCAGTAATTACAGAGGGATTGTTCACATCTGCAGCCCATGGCAATTAAAAATTAGTAAATTTTCAAAAATTTTACTCTGAGTTACTGGGCAGTATACAGACACACTTAGCTCCAAGTAGCACATACATAAATGATATGGATGTGAAAGAAATAAATAGAAGTAGAATATAGTAAATGTATTGCAATTGTGTAGCAATGTATTTGTTAAGGAAGAAAAGCAGATGGAATATTAGCAAGGCAAATCAGAAAAGTTTAAATGGATCTGAATTACTAAGTCCATTTTGTTTGACTGACCAAACCCTTGAGTCCTGTGCATGCTTGGTTTTGCATCTTAAATTACAATAACTGGCAAGAAAAAAAATTGGGTTTTGTCTTTGATCCTCAGTTAAAGCAGACTGAGAAAATCCCTTCATAATTGGTTAATAGTTCATGGGGCTAAAATTGTTGTTGTAGCACAATCTGTGGGAACAACACAGGAGAAACATTTCCTGCAGAAAGAATGCTGAAGTTTAATTACTACACATCACATGAGGGAGAATTTCAATTTTTAGGGCCCTGTGTTCAGGCAGTTACTAGGTAGCCAGCTTGTAGTGGAATATTGATGCTTTAGTCTAATCTCTGCTGTGCCAGAGAACAGTGGAGGGGCCTCATTCTCATGATGGGGTAGGAGGAATGCTACACATTTCTTAGGTCTTATCATCATGTACATTGCTATGCCAGGCAGTTTAATTAATAACTGTCGACATCTTGTCATTTATCATTACCCAAACAGGAGGGAAGGACCCTTCCATGTGCATGCTGTACAAATAAATTAAAGTTGTCTCCCCCAGTCTCACGGGTTTGCTGCTGTCACTCACTCGTGTTGTCCTTCCTGCAGTTCAAAGAATTGCATCTTATCTTGCTCCCAGGACTGGGCAGCTATTTATGTCCTGTAAAACAAAAGCACATGCAAGCCTGGTGGATAATCAACCAGCAATATTGCTGGGGAGAATTAAATTATTGAGTTCACCAGAAAACATTTACCACTACATTTTAAATGTACAACAAGGAAGACTCTTCCATGAGCAAAGAAATGTGGAAACACTGCAGTCAGATCATGATGTCAAAATAAGCTTTTTCACTGACTTCAAAGGTCATCAGAGCAATTTCTTATTTTCATATAACAAAGCTAAATACTAACTAGTCCAGTGTAAGTAAATTGCTCATCTTTCTTTGAAATCACATGCAGCATGTAGGAACACTCAGAATGGCTCTGGGTACTATGCAATATTTTGTTTCCAACAGTCAAGCCTAAAAATCTTCCTCTCTGTGAATGCTTTGATTCTTAATAGCAATTTGCAGGAAAAAAAAATTCCAACTGAAATGAAAGATGTAGTGTGATAGAGACACTTCCAAACACAATCCATTTTTGGTAAATAGAAATAAAAAGTTTATTAGACGTACTCTTTCGTCAGGGACACAGCATGCCAGGAACTGCACACAGGGAAACAGGAGCCCACAGATATTATTATTTAAATTATTTAAGTTTAAAAAAAAAACCCAAACTGAACTCTATTTACTCTGTACAATACACTGAATTGTGAGAAATTTTCATGTCAGTTTGTGATTGCAGACAGAGCTCCCTGTGTCTGTCCAAGACAAATGATGGAGCATCTCTGTGTTCACTCTGCAGGCACCTCTGGCTGACGGATGGAGCTGCCTCATGCGCGGCCCTTGAAGGGCAGCAGGAAGGGATGGACTCCTGCAGGGACTGCCAGAACCTCCCAGGCAGAAGAAGGCTGCTGGCTGCCTTTAAAGAATCATATTAACCTGCAGCTCTCTAAGGCATTTGTTAAAGCCACCAGGATGATTCAGGGCACACTTTGATCAGGAAAACAGTTAAGACAATTGTGGCATATGGCAGTGTGACCCTGTAAGGTGTCCCAGCTCTGTCCCTTAGACTGACCCTACGTGCAGGAGAGCTGCTGCAGCACTGGGAAATATCTCTTTCAAATTTCATGAAGAGAAGACATGCACAAACACCAACACACAGATAAGTGCAAACAAGAAAACAGTGCACCAGAGCTTGTGAGATCCTCTTGTATAAAATGTCCCAGGGACAAAAAGCAACAGGCATGAGATGGACCACAGGAAAGAGACCTTTCACGTGGCAGCCTGAGCAGAAGCCCATGGCAGACCTAAGGCTCAGGTGTCAAAGAGCTGAACTGTGAGTGCATTTTAATAATGAGAGATGTGGTAATTCTGGCCCCTTCTGGCTGCAGTAAATTGCTCTGTTTGGCTGGAGCCAAGCTGAAATAGCACGTTGGGCATGCATCAGGAAATTACCTCAGAATATACGGAGCCTCAGGCTCTAGGTGATAAGTAAGGACCCAACAAATTAATCTCATCATCTGCATTCATCTTTGGATGCTGCTCTGTGCCAGGCCACAGTGTGTGGGCTGGGGCCTATTTTTTTTCATTTGTCTAACTTAAATTGGTAGTTTGAGTTACTATGATACAAATGTTCTATTCTGTGCTGTCTGCATGGTAGATTGTTCTTACTGAAATAGGAAGAATTATCATGTCATATTTTACAGCCATGAGGACAAATTATTATGAGCCTTCTTTTGTCAACATAAATTATGCAAGTCTGGTGAAGGGAATTTATGGACATCCTCAGTCTATTTTCCTTTAATGGCAAGTATTTTTGTTAATAACTGTAATTTAATTATTTATTATGCCATTCAGAATCCACTCACTTCTACAGCCTATCCCTGAATTGCATTCCTCACTGTATTATTAAGGCCTTTCAAGATCAAAAATCACATCTAAGTGAAATGGAAAAAAAGAGTTGCCTTAGACTCATGACTGGAACTTAGGTATTCTTTTTAAAAAACAAAAGAAAGAAAAAAACCCCCACATTTCTTCACATTACTTTATAGAGAACAATCCACCCTTCATTTCAAATAATACATTTCTTTTTCCAAAATATGTCAGTAAATTTTACTGTCCTCTGTATGCTTCAGTGGCAGAAAGAACAGAATCATTACGACTATCCCTTTTATCCCTGACACATACAGTGACTCTATTGCAGACAGAAGGAGGATGGGCAAACCCTTCTTTTCCCTGTATTCTATATTTCTTGTGTTCATTTTAGAGATAGCAAATGGAGGATTTGGGTGTTTTCTCCAAACCTATTATTTATCCTGAAAACTTAATTCTTTAAGGCACAGGAAGACCAATTTGTGTGCATTTTTTAGACTCTGAGAAATTAATGAATATGTGCTCAAGACACAAAGACCCCACAGATTACTGTGAGAAATAATCCTTTTACTGAAATATCAGTCCTTAATGATTATTTTCTAATCCTTGGCACATGATAAAAATCATTACAATAAACAGGGGAGAATATATGTAATACATTTCATTTTCTAGCTCTTTCTCTTTGTTTTGCAAACAGTAGCTAACAATCTATTTAGTAACTCATCCCTGAATGGTGGTTACACATGACAGGTGCACCAAAAGTTAATTTTCTGTTTGTCTCTACTTTCTAGAAAAGGGGAAATTACTCCTCTTAAAAAAAAAGATTAAATCTAAGGCATGCACAGTGGGAGTACAAGTGCTTTTTACTGGTACAAACACATGAACATTTCTATTGTAAGACTCTATTTGTTTAGTTTCTTCTACCCTTTATATTTGGTAATAGATTTTTACTCCACAAAACTATTGAATCAAATGCCTCTCAAATAAGAACACCCTGCTGGTATAAGCCCAGGGAAGGAGGCTTCCAGGCAAAAGTCTGTGGCAGATGACACAGAAGAAAAAAAGGAGTTTTCTTGTGCCAGTGCTGTATTGCAGGAGAGAGAGTTTGTGGCAGAATTCTGTCTGAAACATCCCTCAATATCTTACTCTGGTATGAAAGCCACAGTGTCTGTATAGCTCTGCTTTGGACAAATACAGAATTTCCTGCCTTCCACACTGAGCTGGAGTCCTTAGATATGCTAACTGCCTAAGAAGAAACAGTAGCAGAGAGCAAATTCCAAAAGAGAAAGACTCTGTGCAGCATTAACTCTGTTGAAAACCTAGGAGATTGGAAAATGTACCATTACCTATCATAATTCAGGCAAAACCCCAACCTCACAGTCATCTGAAGGCCTAGGACTGACTCCTGTGGTTAGAAGATGATCTTTGGAGAGAGGCAATTCTCACTCCTGCAAACACAGATCCAAAGTTGGTCAAGGTATGAGAACTTACAAACAGAAGATGATTTTTTCTTTGCTTCTATGGTTAGAAGAAGTTTAACATTTTAAACTAGGGACAATTCTTCATGTTCTAAAAGAAATTCAATGTGTTCATGCATATTTGGATGGTTAAACAAATTGGAGCATAAAATGTTCACTATTTCTGTACACTGTGTGAGGCAAAGCTACGAACTTAAAAGTTTATTTTTAAAGTGGCCCTTAAAATCTATACTAGGATTTAGTCCATGATCTCCTACTGATGATACATAAACCCAACTGATTTCTAGATGGCCTTCCAGTGTTAAAGTGATAATGAAGGGGGATAGTTATTCCATCTCTGAAAGTCCAAAGCTCTGTGGCACAGATTTCTACACATTGGCTACAAGGCCAGAGACAAATGCATTTTTTTAAGGAAAGAGGAGAGAGAAGGTCAGAAACTGATTTATTCCTTAGCCTGTACAAGAGCATAACACTTCAAAATTGTCACTGAAATAATGACTGCAGCTATAGGGACTAGAATTCAAATATTAGGAAAATAAGTTTGTTTTCTAATTCTCTGGGCAAGGGAAGAATTCAGGCTTAGCTTATGCTTGCTACCCTTTTGTTTACACTTCTGTTTGCTGAAATACCTTGCACCAGCCTTGTACTGGTGTGTCTTGGTCATCTGCCAGTCACCCACTGGGGTCACCATGACATCTCAGAAAACACCAAGCTGGTGAATTCACAAAGTTTGCTCCTTGCTCCAGGATCATGTTGGTAGAACACTCTATCCTCTGCATTGTTCCTCCTGTTGGCTCAGCTCCTGGGAGGGGACCAGGAGAGCCAGAGGCTGGGGACACTCCCTCAGGGCTGCTTCTCTTGAGTGACAACCCAGCCAGTTTGGCTTCAGCAAAAATTCCTGCCTTCAAACCCTAATTACTGTGCTGGCACAGCACTCTGAGTGGTTTTTCTAATTGTTTGTATTTATTTGCAAAGTCTCTACTGCACAGGGTCCTATGATAAATATAATTCCACTCATGGCTAATTCGATGCTTTTTTGGGGGTAGAAGGGAGAGTAATTTCATGGTAAACCATAATTACTAGTACAAGAACTACCTTAATTACCAGTCCAATCTGAGGGAGTAGCTGAGGCTTGAATCAGCCTAATTAAAATTCTACTTGTTCATAATAAATAAGTGGTAATTACTAATTAGGCCTAGCCTACAGTATTCTAAAAGCGTGAATTTAATGTCAGTTTGGTTTAATTTTGGCCATTTCCTACTTGCTCTGGAATGACAGCCCAGCACAGAACTGAACAGAGCAGATATCTGAGGCCTTTAAGTCTTCTCCTGCTGTTGGCTTATAGTGGCAGAACAGACAACTTGATAAGACAATTTATCACTGTTGAGTGCTGAGCTCCTGAATATATAATTCCAGCTGTAGATGTAACACAGACACCTCCAGCTATATGGTGGAAATCGTGGGAAAATCCTTTTAGCTTTCAGGTCCCTGTTTCCCACCTTTTCTGATGAAGCCACATTCATTTGCATGTTAAAAATGTCTTATGATTTGGGTCATTCATGCCTAGAAACCAGGGTTTCTGATTGCTGCCAAATAAAAAAGAGGAATATTATTACAATATCCTGATAGCTTGGCTCCAGCTGTTTATCAAATATGTATTTAATCACAAGCATAAATCACATTCTGCCTGCAAGGAGGCTGAAAGGAGCAGCCTCTCCTCCCAGGCACCAGGGACAGGACAGCAGGACATAGCCTTAAGCTGCACCAGGGGAGGTCTAGGCTGGACATGAGGGAGAATTTCTTCACAGAAAGAGTGATTAGACCTTGGAAGCCCAGGGATGTGGTGGAATCACCATCCCTGGATGTGTTTAAGGAAGGCCTGGACGTGGCACTCTGCTGTGCTTTAGCTGATGAGGTGCTGTTGGGTCCCAGGCTGGACTCAGAGGCCTTTTCCGCCCTCACTGATTCTGTGCTAGCAGAAGTGTATCTCCCACTCTTCTTCCCACATTTTACTGACCTACAGAACTGAGATACTTCTACAGGCCTGAAACAACACCAGCAAACATAAACAAAGCATCATAAAAGTATTTCTTCCATGGTTTCCCCTCTTATTTTTTTTCTAAGAACTCACTAGCTGCTAATGGGAATATTATGTTAGACCTACAAACACATTCTAACTTGTGGTTGATGCATATGTTCAGCAGATTTGACAATAAGAACATTATAGTAATAAAAATTCAGTCAAAGATTTTTCATTTCCAGTGAACCTTACCAGTCTACTGACCTTTACCACTAATGGGGAACTGAGGATTTGTTAATTACAGCATGCACAGGTGCAGCAGCTTTGTATCTTAAAGAGTCCCCTAAAAAACATGGGTAAGAAGCAACAGTGGGAATCAGAAAAGGAATCCTGTGGCATCAACCTGATCTTGCAGGGCTCTCTCTGATGAGTGAGGGTGATGTTAACCAGCCAGACTGACTGGCCAAGAGACAAATATCCAACTCAAACCCAAATGCCAGGGTGTTTCAATCTGTCAGGAGCCCCATATCCTCCTAGCTACAGCTGGTCACAGTGTCATACAGACTTTGGAATCAGTAGCTCCTCTTTACCCCATTTTTAGCTCTTTTCCTTTTTATTTTTTTTTTTCAATTTTGAGTCCTTCAGAAATAAATAGAATTCCTTGGGTTTTTGGGGTTTTTTTTTTAGATCTGCTTCTGTTCTCATAGCTTCTGGGCAAATACTTCCTTATTTGCTAGAGGGCTTAAGGCCCTGGGAACCCAGCAAGGGGCAAGTGGAGGAACTGCTCACACTCTTTCTTACCAAGCTAAAAATCACTTTTTCTATCAATCAAACCCTACATGAGGCCTCCTCCAACTTACAGGCTCCTCACCTTTGTGCCATGATCCTGCCAGTCACTGTCATGGCAACCACAGAGACCATTCCAGCTGAAGAAACTGCTAATTTCTGGGGGGAGCCACTTGCTTGATACTTTAAAAAATAAAACATCCACTAGAAAAAATTTACCTTTTTTTTGTTTTGTTTTGTTTTTTTTTAATCATGCATGGAACTAAAAAGAACTCAAGAAAATGTGAAAATCAAATTTTTTCTCCATAAACCATAACTGTTGCATCCTGAGTCACAGCAGGAACCATGGTGCCTCATTGTCTTTGAGCACCAAACCACAGGAGTGACTGTCACAGTCACCTTCTAGCACAGAATTCTGTTCCTCACACACATTTCTCCCACAATAGCAACAGCCCAATGACCAGAGGAAAATTAACATCTCCCCTTACCCCCAGACAACAATCTGGCAAAAACACTTCTAATTTGCTGCAGGGCCCTGCGTTGTATAAGTTATAAAATAAAACCAAATGAGGAAAGAGCCACAAGGCAAGGACTACAACCAGGGAGAGGGGAAGCATAAATTCAGCAAACCTTGGGAGAGCCTTGTCCCTGCACCCAAAGGCCCCACAAGACTCAGGGAGTCTGGATCTGCCCCCACTCCTGAGCTTGTTCTATCACAAAAAGGAGTCTTCAAAATTCTCTTTTCATAAATCCTGAGTTGTCCTGTCTGAAGCCAGGATTTCCCTCCTCCTCTGCCATTAGCTGCAGTGTGGGGTGTCTGACCTCGTGTGCTCCTGTTAGTTCTACACCTCAGCATTGGTCTTTCCTACAAGAACAGCTGGGAATTCATCAACAGCTCCCTGTGCCCAGGCGTGGGCTTCCTTCACACAAAGGGGCTCCTCGCTGGTTTTTCTTGCCCCTCAGCTGGAAGCTCCATCATGAAGGTTGGGCAAGCAAATCCTGCCCAAGGGGCTGTGGAACAGACTGTGGAAAATCCATGGAAATTCACAGATTCACCAAGCAATGGACAGGTGATGCAATTCAGGTGTTTTTTGTTTTGGTTTGCTTTTTTAAATTATTTTTTATGTAAACCAAAAGAATAATGGAGGTCCTTGAGAAAGCATCTTCACACTTTTAGCCTTTTACTATTTTATTTTATTTTATTTTATTTTATTTTATTTTATTTTATTTTATTTTATTTTATTTTATTTTATTTTATTTTATTTTATTTTTTTATTTCTAAGTGGAAGGAGGGGAGGGGAAGGCACTGTTTTCTTTATACCTCACTAGGACACAACTTCCCAGTTTTTTCTTTAGCCAGAATTGCAGGGAGACATCTCCACCTCGTGGTGTGAAAACAAAGTACCCTTTGAAAATTTCTAAATTGCTATTTCATGCAAAGGCAGCAGGCTAAAATGATTTCTGTAAATTATTTTCCAAAGCAAACTGTGCTCGTGAGCAGCACACTTACACAAAAATTCAGGGAGGAAAAAGTTTTATAGACTATTGGCTACATATAAACCAAGGAGTTTATATATGATAATGAATGATTATCATATATAAGGTGATATCATGATGAATCATGTAACATGAGGATGCTGCATTCACTTACCTTTTCTGTATGCAAAGATCCATATGCTGCACATCAGGAACAGTTTTCTGTAGCCTTGGAACCTCGTGGAGGACAGATCATCAGGCAATGCAGCAATGAAAATTTGGTTCAAGGCTTAGGCTACAAACACCTCGAGGGAGGCCAGCACATAACCTCTGCTCTCAAAACCTCCATCCCTCAGGACCTCTATTTCCAGGACAGAAGCTGACAGTAAATTCACTTTTCATGGGCTGCATATCTTACAGTGTTCCAAAACCAGTGAAATTCCTGCAATGAAAAGAAAACCATAGTTACATTGCATTTAAAAATGTACCAATAGAGGGAGATACTCCACCATAACAATTAGTTCCTTCACAGCAGAACTTCCTGGAAAAGAGAATTTCAACTGAACAGAAACAGGTCGTTGTTGTTCTAGTTCTAAGGTGTAATGCAACACAATGTGTTCTGTGATTTCAGAATTCCCTAAGAAAATGGCACCTGACTGAACTTTAATTACTAGACAGAATCACATAGGACACTTTTTATACTGGAATTTACTCTGATCTCTTCAAAACATTATGTGACTACATTTCACATAATAATAACTTAATGAATGTTTTTATAATTTAGGCAAAAAAAAAAAAATCCTTTACAGTCAACAATTCTGGCTCCTCTAAAAATCCTTTACAAAATTTTCATTTAATTGCCTTTAATTAAACTAGCTCCACTGAAGGAGATCAAAGAGCACAATGGTAAAGGCACTGGCAAAGGGTGATCTCAAAAGAAGTAGTGCAGACCTCTTGGCACTGAAGAAATGTAGAAGTTTTTCACTTGTCAGATAATCCTACAAACTTATTTATTAGAATCTCCAGAAACATATGGGATTCTTAATACAGCAAAAATTCAAAATGAAAATGTTGCATTCTGATCTGCCTCAAAATATATGAACCACAAGCTGAATTCTAAGTGTAGATTTGCTAATCTATATCCACAAAAAATGGTTTAAAAGGCTGAGTGTTCTGTTCCCCTCTGTTCCTTGGGGATGCATGATTCCTGTTTCATGTCATCTGATGAAAAGAACAGAGAAGTTTTGCAACCTGCCAAAAGCTGAGCTAATTTTGTGTTTTTCAAACTATTTGCCAGTCAAACTCTGTGTTCCTTTGCTGAACTTACAAAATATTCTTGCTTCAAGAGAAAGTTTCTGCTGCCTTGGGCCTTGTTAAGGACATTCAGCTCTCCATGAAATAGCTACAATAGCATGCATAACATAAAGACAGGAGTCATTAAAAAAAAAGATGATTTATCAAAATTTTTGGCAAATGGTCTTTCCTGTCTTAAGGATTAATGCTGTAGCTGAGACACTACTTCCTTTTATGACCTTTCAAGGGAGGGATATTCCTCATCTTTACACGGTACTGGGCCTCAAATCCACAAAAAGAACTTCAAGAGGAGAGACAAGGAAGGAATACAGAAGTTGTGTCTAGACTTGCAAGTCAAGATCTTTGCTCCTTTAGCACACAGCTGCTGAAAAAACAGAACATGCTTTGCTTCCTGTAATTGTTAAATTTCACTCAATATTATAAATATGTTTCTATTTGCATTCATACTCACTTTTTAATAGTAGAGAGAAACCAAGAGACAATGTTTTAAACAAATAGTGTAAAAAAAATCCCAATTAAGTAGGAAGATAGCCAAGGTACATGAAAAACATGTATGCTTCTACCCATCATAGAATTTATTGTGTCTAATTTCCCAATTTCAATGATTTGAAACCTTTTGATTTTTTGCTTTGGTTTGGTTTTTTTTAGGGTTTCATGTCAATTTTTTAGGAACAAAACATTATGTAACATTACAGCAGCTTCCAGCTAGTATTTTTTTCTTTTATTATTTCTGCAAACTTAAAGCTGACCCCCTCTTTCTTCTGCTTTTTGCTTCTACTGCTCTCTGTCCTAAGATAAATTATCATGTAAGTGTCTCTTACACTTCTTGATGTTTCCTCTACCTGAATCAGGATTTCTCTTTTTTTTTTCTTCACTACTGTGAAGCCATCATATTTAATTAATCCCGGAAATATTGACTTAGTGCTAAGGGAAACATTATCATTAAATTAGAAATGCTGCTGGTGGTGATGCCAGCTCCCCAGCTGCAGAGCAAGGCAGACACTCCGGCTCAGCACGTTTTAGGTAAAAGTCTTCGGAGCCAAAAGCATTATTTACTCACTTAATTTCAGATATTCATTATATGACTGCAGATGGAGGAGCTGGTTGTTTGGCATCTTCTCTTCAATACTATTTCTCTGACATTACATATAAATTTGTGCTTCAAAATTCCCTACAAATTGACTGAAAACTTCTTCTTAGAAGTTTAGGGAGAAGAGAGATAAAGGTATCATACAACTGTGATATCACTGTTACAAAACAGCCACTTTTAAATTTATTTATTTTTAAGAAGGAACACAGACTTCCTCTCTAAATCTTCTCCTTCAAATTATCAAAAAATTAATACTGATTTCCTGCAAATACAGGCCTTTTAAACTCGACTAATCTGTCTTATGAAACTACATCAAAATGCAAGTTAACACTTCATGACATTTTGTGCAATATCTGATGTCTTTCAATAGTATTCTTTAATCACGTGGCTCTTTACCTTTCGTTGGTAGGAGATAAATTTTCCTGCCTCTATTACTCTAAGCTTTACACTTCTTATATTCTTTTATTCTTCCAGAAAGGCTGAGAACACTATTGAAATGTTCAATATGACAGATGCTTGGCAGTTCCTCCCCAGCTCTCCCAGTGCTGGAGCTCTCCCTTCTCCCCTCTCTCCTCTCTCCCTTCTCCCTTCTCCCCTTCTCCCTTCTCTCCTCTCCTCCACAGGTTCTTGCTGTGGTTGTCCTTGTCCCTTCTCCAGCTCTCCTGCCCTCTGCTGTCTCTGCTCCTCACCTGCGGAGATCCCAGAATGGACAGATAAAAACCTCCAAGATAAATCTCTGTCTCCCAGCCTTCAGCTGCTTACGGCAGCGCCCCTCACAAACCCACCTCCATCCGTGCCATTTTTCCCATGCGTTTTTCAGTGCTTGACCGCAGAGATGTTGATTTTACGAAGGTTAAAGGTGGCTGCCTCAGCCAACAAACGGGGTTTAGCGGGAGGGGATGGCTGCTGTTGTTTCAGGAGTGAAGTGTCACGAAGGTGCCGCGGCCCCCGCTGAGGCGCGAGTGACAGCGGCAGCTGCCCGGGCTGCGGAGCCCCGCGGGACCGCAGGGTTCCCACGTCGGGAAAGGCCACCCCGGTCCTTTTCCCACAGCTGAAGCTGCAGGAACAGCGGGGAGAGCTCCCTTAGAAATCGGGGGCCGAGCAGCCTAAACTGGAACTGGATGTGCGGGGGCTCAGGCAGGCCCTGCTCGGGCCTGAGGGGATTCCTGGCTGCAGGCCGAAAGCTGATCCTGACCCCGGTGAGCCTGAGGGACAATCCTGCTTTCTCTTCTATCCCTGCAAGGACAAATGTCTGCTGATCAAATAGATCTTTTTCTAGACTGAAAACCAGACTTAGTCTGAATTCACACAAACACCGAGTAACTCCTATAAGTGAAGTGTTATACATATGACAACACACACACAGAATATAAATTAAATATTCTGCATTGGCAAAACCTTCTGGACTCTGACTTAGATTCTGCCAGTGCCTGAGACATTTGCAGCATTCACAAATTCATCATAGCCTGGCCTTTCAGAAAAAGAGCAGTCTGAGAGTCTTCCTCCTGCCTGTGAATATGAAATGTTTTTAAATGTTTACTGTTTAATGCAACAGAGCAACAGATTTAAGTATTTAGGTGAGTTCTTCCTAGAGAATGAATTAGCTATCAGATATTGAATATTCTGCATGAAAAATTAGATTCCTGTGATAGAAAGGAATTTGATGTTCTTGTTCAGAAGGATCTAAACTAAAATAATTTGATTTCCTGAAAAAGGCCAAGTTCTAAAAACCAACAGATATAACAGGATAAATGTATTCCCCACCTCACCCAGATTCCATGAAATTTTACAATTCTGAACTATACAAAACCCAAAATAACGTATCACTTCAGCTCCTGTGAAAAATGAAGACCTCACATCTGTTAAATCTCTGTGCTCCTGAGAAAACCCAGCAGCAGCGGTGGGAGAAGGGAAGGAGGCACACACAAGGTGGAGCCAGGCCTGGGGGACATTTGAAATGGTTGTAAGCAGATTCTGGAAACATGGAACACATGCACACGTAAATTGTCATTAAAAATATGGAGAACAGCCTTGAGAGGAGTTGCAGTAACCCTGGCATAGAAGGGTTTGGGGCATTCTCAGCTGCCATACAAAAAGGGATTGAGAACAGATTCCCTGTTAATGTCTTCTCTGCTGGGATGGCTCTAGGGTCTAAAAAATCTGCTTTCTGTTAGGAAAAACTATAAAATGTTCAACAAAAGATTAACAATGTCTTTCATTGGCATAAAATCAGGAGATTTCCTTGCAGGAGGGTGTGTTGAAAATTCCCTAGAAAGTAGAATATAGAAAGAATAACTGTCACTGGTAGCAAACTCCAACTCTCAGCAAATACATGTGTTACAAATCTAACTAAATAAACAAACATCATTCAAAGTCTTGCATGTGTGTACAAACCAGGTTGAATAATTTTTTTTTTAACCTTAGGATTGGGCATTAAATTATATATAATTAGTGGAGTTCTTTCTTACTTCTATTTCCCACTTTAGTTCTTGAAATTTGGTATCTATTGAATCCTGTTTTAGGGCTTTTTCTAAACCCAAGATGGAGAATTTTGTTAACAGTGCAATAAAAATAACTTCATAGTGTTACAAAGAAACATTAAAGACTTTTTTGTGTGCTGCTCTTTCCCTTAAAAAAAAAAAATACAGACATTGTTTCTTTAAAAGGCTCCATCTGCAAATCCCATTAGATGTGCATATAAGGTTTCAGATGATTAATAGCTGCCTGCTTTGCTTTGGTTGGAGGGGCTGAGGGTATGTGTGTTAACCCCTCCCTCCCCTCACTCACATTTCACTTCACAAACTTGTCACTGTCTCCCCAGCACAGTATTTAAAAAGTGTTTCACTCATGCCCGGCACTTCACAAGGAAGCAACTGATGGCAATCCCTGCAGAAATCTGGTAGCTCCAGTCAGGGCAATGAAGACCTTTAGAACTAGAGTTCCTGAAGTAGCAAACCTGCAACAGCATCAAACCCACAAGCAAACTGTTGTTTAGGGAGGACATCTATTCTGTAAAATTTGGAAGTTTCCCTCTGCTTCTCTTCTGCTTTTGAAGGCTGAGCTGTCACCAGCCAGGAGCACTGAGGTGTGGACAGGACTGGAAGCAGATGGATCCCAGCAGCAGCAGCTGCATGCGCAGCCCACAGCCTCCCACCCTGCTCTGGGGGTGTGTGAGGAGCTCCCACACCGACCTGAGCACAGCTCCAGGGCTCAGCCACTATCCAGCAGCAGCACCATTCTCCTTCCAGCAAAAATCAGATTTTGCTGCTTACTCCGATTTCTCAGCCTCCTGCCTGGTGACAGCTCCCCACAGCTTTCCACAGGAAGAGCGGGCACTTGTGGAGCAGCATCCCTCATTCCAGCACTCTGACTGGCACCTGGCAGCAACTGAGGCCAGAAGAGGAATAAATCCAGGACTGGCCTTGGCTTCTGGAGAGTCAGAGAGCAGCAGCCCCAGCCTTGTGAGTGTGGCTGTGGGTGCGGATGAAGATGATGAGGCACCAGCAAATCCTACAAGTGACTGTGAGAAAAAGCCATCCAAAAGGAAAAAGGAAAGCTCAGGTAGGTGATGTGAAATCAGGGTTGTGGTAGAGTGCAGGAGATGGAATGAGAACACGTGGTGAGACTGGGAGTTAAGAAAGAAAGCTGATGAGCAAAAATTTCATAATACTTGACCGGGGCAACTTTAGACAGTAACATCACTGTAACTGTCTCATTCTTATTCTGGTCTTTGTATTTCACTCCTGCAGATCTTGGGTGCTGAACTAGGGATTTTACTCACCAGCACAATTTGCTGTCACTGAACAGGAATCACATGGCATGTACACACAGAACTGAAAGTCCTGGGATGTGGAATTATACATTCACACCTGCCATTTTTCTGTGCAAGAGAGAATGGCAGAGAGCAAAGATCCCTCATCTTGAGCTGCCTGTGGTAGTTGGAGATGTCATACTAGGAATTTGACATCTCATTTTATGGGAAGAAGTACAAGAGGCAAGGTCTTCCTTTAAATATAAATTCTATTTGGTTGCACTAAATGTTAAATATTTTAACCTTAAAACAGGAGGTACTAAAAGCTTGCCTATCAGTACAATGTCCAAAAATGCAGAAAATGTATATGGTTTTCATGGTGTCATCCTGGCTAGGAAAACACATTCTTTCTACAGTGTAAATATCAATAATTTCATAGTTATACAAACTCTAACTTGCTGATATCTCAGATCCAAATCTGTGAAATATGCATAAAATTGTTTTTTTCTTAAGGAAGTTGTTAAAATTTAAGATGCTTATGTGCATTCAAATGCCATAGCATTCAAGCATACAAGCTACAGTGTAATTTTTCCCACAGTCCTGCTCCCAAGTGGAGAATATTTTCCAGTAGCCCCATTTCACAGGCAGAAAATGCATGGATAAAAATATTAATTGATTGACTTCTAGGTTTTGCAGACATTTATAGAATTTAAGTTCATTTATACTGAAAAAGGATGTTTAGGTAAAATTTTCTCAAATGCAAAGAAGTTTAAATAAAGTAATTATTTAAAAAGTGAGCAACACTTTCATTAAAACATCAGCTAGTCACAGGTAAACAGCAGATTTCAGCTTATTCACATTAGAGGGATTTCTTTATCCTTAAAGAGACTGATTCCAAAGCACATCTCCCTGTTTCAAGAAGAAAAAGGTGCCTTTATTCTTTCTTACTACTTTGCATTTTCTTTTCATACCTGCTGCTGTCCCCTACGGTCTTCCTTTCAGGGAGCTGTAAGCAATGACATCCCTGAGAGGTCTGGGGTTCCACCCTCTAGTGACCACTGCAGCCCTGGGGAGAGGCAGCTGTTAAATTCAGTCCAGCACTGAAGCTGGTTGGGATCCTGGAAGGAGACACACTCCTTGGGGAGACACATATCTGCCTTTGGTTCCTAAGCAGCATCTTTTTTCCCTTCCCTTCCCTTCCCTTCCCTTCCCTTCCCTTCCCTTCCCTTCCCTTCCCTTCCCAAACTTCCCTCTTTCCTCCCTGAACTTCCCTGAACTCTCCTTAGTCTCCTTTCTTCTTTTTAAACTGGCAGTACAGTAGGAAAAACCTGCCCAAGATGATTTGTCCTTTCACACATTTGTCATTTCTCACATTCTGTAGTCAAAACTGCAGCAGCTGAGCCACATTTCCACTTCTGGACTCTCACAGAACCTCAAGCATTATGTCTCTTGACAATACCCTGTGGCACGCAGTGTGCATGACAGATTCCATGCTGCACATCCTACTCTGCTCCCAGAAATATCCAAATACTTGTTTTAAATTACTCCCATTGTCTTTTGGAGATGCAGACCAGTGAAGCTGCCCCTTGGAAAGGGAATCCTCCCCACAGGGCTGTGATGAACTCCCGTGTACTTTGCTTTAGCTACTTGTTTATCATTTCTGCCATGTGCTGAAGGCATTGGAGAGCTGCTGCAGCCTCCACGAGTCTGTGAGGGCAGCAGAGACCCCAGGGGATGCCCAGGGACTGGTGGCAAAGTTCCCAGCAAGAGATCCACACTTCAAATCCTGATTCCCCACTGCTCCCTCCCAAATCACACTTGTGAGCCCCTGGGAAATGTGATAGCGTGTCTGTGCTGCAAGGGATGAGAACAAAGGGGATTGTTAAACTGAGGGCAAAGTCATGGGGAGAAACTTCTGGAATTTTGTTCCTGTACATTCCCCATCTTTATTTGTGGAGTTCTGAAGCAGCAAAACCAGTATGGAACAAACCAGACTGATTCCCTTGGAATGGAAAGTTCCACTTCTGATGGCCAGAGATCAGGTCAGCTCAGTCACCAAGTCCACAGTCACACCTCACAGATTTCTCCAGTTTTACTACTTTGGCCCCCCAAAATGACACCCAGAAGATGAAGCTGCACATCATGGATAAAAATATTAGTTGATTGATTTCTAGCTTTTGCAGACGTTTGTAGAA